GATTTACAAAAGCAGTTTGGTGTCTACTTTTGAAAACAGTGGATAGAGAAGCGATCCTTACTTCTAGTTTTCATTTAAAAGAACACAGTGTTCCTCAGTCCTCCTTGGTCTATAATTGCCAGCCGGAAATTTGTTTTAAAGGGTTGAACTGCTTTGCAATGTTACTACCTCAGTAGTACTTTGTGGACAAAAGACTTCATTTATTTTTAGAAACTGGGTTTGTACTCTGAGATGACTCTGCAATTAAAAGAGAAGGATTTGAGAAAAGAACAAATGTTCTGCTCTCTTCCTCATTCCAGAAGCCACTGTCCATGATCCTGTGACCTGTGTAAGAGACCCTTAGCCCTCACTTGACTCTCTCGCTTGCTTTAGACTCTGCAGAATTCTAATGTCTGATGTCAACTCCCTGATTTAAAGGCTGTGGTATTTCTTCTGAACCCTTCATTTCCCCGTCTTCATTCATAGTGTGACAACCAGAAAGAACCTGGGTAGCCCTACACATTTTGAAAAAGGCTAATTCTGCTTCCTCATGCTCCACTAATAGGACAGAATAGGTTTGTTGAAAGTAGTCAGTCATATCCTGTTCATGATAATCTAGTTAAACAGAAAACTTCGTGTGTTGTTCTCCCATGAAAATATATCACACAATAAAAACAGTGTAATCTCTTTTATACTAATATCCCTTAGGTAGCCTTTTATTGACGACAAAGTCTTCCACTGTGTTTCGAGTCCTTAATGATCTGTGAAGATCTATTATAATCTTATTGTTCATGTTTTACACATGTGAATTGAACACTTTTAATAATAGCTAAAATTTGTATGAGGCAGGTTACAAATCGTATACACACACATTATATCATTAGTTTGGCATTGCAATGGAGTCAGCATAGAGGGGATTTAATCTAACTCACTTGGACAGTTAAACATAGTCCCTTCTGTATACTGGTGTTGCTGACTTAGAATCTAGTGGAAGTGTGTAAGCCTCTGCAGATAACAGAATTTTAGGATTCAGTCTTCTCTTGTGTTGACGGTGGGACTGAACTATTTCCCATATAGCTAACCTTTTTCTCCCCCCAGCTTACCTTGGAGAAATGTTTGTGGCGGAAAGGGTTCCATCCTAGAGGTGGTCGTGATAGGATACTGTTGCCTTCTTTATATACCTCAATGTAATATATTATGTATCATAAGTTTTTATAGTAAAATGTATATTCCTTTATTTGATAAACATTCATTGAGCATCGTATACTAGGCCCTGAGGATATAAGATAAAAAGAAACAGCTCCTACCTTCCCAGGAGCTCACAGTCTAGTCTGCAAGGAGATATGCAGACAAACTATTAGAGTCATCGTTCTGCGGTACCTGTGAACCATTCTGGAGTGTGGAGGAAGGAGTTCATTCTGCAGGTTGGGTTTTGAAAAAGTCTGGGGAAAGCGTCACGAAGGGCATTAATAGTTGGCGGCACCGAGATGAGTAAGCGGAACCTTCCGAGCTGAGAACTGGGCGAAAGCGCCCAAGCAGCGGGGCAGCAAGTGTAAACCTTGAAGCCCGAGCGCGCGCCGCGCTGGCTCCTGGGCTGCAGCGGCACCCTCGCCTGAGTGTCGGGCTGGACAAGCTGCCTGGGGCAGAGGCTCTGTCTGTTTTGTCACCGTTGTATCCTGGGACAGATACTTAGTTTTAAAAATCTTTTTATAAACAGAAGTATACAGATCCTCAAGAAGGCCCCCAGATTCTCACACAGCGTCCCTCTCACTCCCCTTGGTGACACCTGACACACCTCCTTGGGCTCCTAGACACCAAGGAACACAGTTTGGAAACCACTGCAGTAGACCATAATATATCAAGATCTTTAGGGTCATTTCTTTTCAATTCTGGTATCTCTAGAATGACATGCACATTCAGAGTTAATGGTGCTATGTTTTGTATTTGTCTCTAGAGGCAAAAAAAAAAAATCAGCTGTGAACTGGTTTTTACAGGACGATGTGTTGAATTACATACATTCTAATCAGTCTGAAATAAACAGGTATTGAAAATTATTTTAATTGTAATAGTAAAGATATTACGTTTTTGTCTCATATCTGTGTTTTCCAGACCGGTTGGAGGGTGACAGATCAGAAGGCTCTGGCCAGGAGAATGAAAACGAGGATGAGGAATAATCAGCTCCTACCGGCAAGCACTTAGATGTTCTGAAATTTGTATAAGACATTTATTATATTTTTTTCTTTACAAAGCTTTAGTGCAATTTTAAGGTTATGGTTTTTTGGAGTTTTTCCCTTTTTTTGGGATAACCTAACATTGGTTTGGAATGATTGTGTGCATGAATTTGGGAGCGTGTGTCAAACAAAACTAGCAAAATGTTTCGAAAACCTTTTGCCATGTATGAGGAGTGCTAGAAAATACAAAGTGCAATATTTTCCCTAACCTTCAGATGTGGGAGCTTGGATCAATGTTGAAGAGTAATTTTCATTATAGTGAAAATGTTGGTTCAAATAAATTTCTACACTTGCCATTTGCATGTTTGTTGCTTTCTAATTAAAGAAGTTGGTTGTTTTAAGATATCCTGAATTGGCCTTTTTATTTAATACCTTGCCACCTTGACCCACGTTTTCCAAATCTTTTCTCGTAACATCAGATTGTCTTTCTCTATTCTTGTCTAGATTTAATAACCTTTTTTTGTTTTGTTTTGACTTCCGTGTGACAGACTCACATAGAAGAGCTTTTTTCATTTCTCCTTCCAGAGTACTTTATCTCCAACCTCAGCTTCATCTCTCATGACTTGGTTGTACCTTATTAACCAAGTACAGGAGGCAGGCTTCCAGCAAAAATCGCAGCATCCTGGATAGCTCACATACGTATTAGCACAAGCTCTTGCTTCTGACCCTCCTGTCTCCAACTTCTAAGATCTCAGCTGAAGGTTGTTGACCATCCAGTCCTGTAATTCCTGGTCTTCCTCATCTCTGGTGTCCACCTTCACTCAAATTAAGCCATGTACACCCAGGCCTGTGTCCTATAGGTCCTGCAGACTTACCCCTTCAGACATCCTCCCTCCCGTCCCCTAAGCTGCCATGCTGCTCTCTCTGGGCCCTGAATAGACTCACAGGTGTGGCCAAGCGAAGCACCCCTCTCCCGTGTGGACACCAGGGACCGCTCCTCCCCAGAAGATGGCTGCAAGCCCAGGGACACCTGCTGCTGAGAGAAGACAGGTTGGGCTTTTGGATAGAGGAAAAGTAGTTGGCTCAGTAACACCGGACTATGCTAAATGGCCAAAGGGGAAGGAGTTAGTTAGAGGCTGGGCCAAACAGGGCAACTGCATGATTTCTGAAAAGTGTCAGGGTCTTAGTTTCTGGTTCCCAAATAGTTATATGACCTGCTCAAGCCATCTGACCTCTCTGGGCTTGTTTCTTCCTCCCTAAAATGGCGGTAACCATACCTGCACCACCTGTGTCCCAGGAGCTGTGTTAGGATCACACGAAACCATGGAGGTTGAAAGGCTTCACAGAATAACTGAAAAGACCACCGCAGCACACGGTATGGCATTATTTCCTCCACTGTAATGAAACAGGAACAGAGCTGTGCTAGAGACAAGTGCTGGAAAACTGGCTGATGGAGGACTCTGTGGGGTCAAGGAGTAACTCCTTGGCAGGAAAAACAAGAAGAAAATCAAAATGGCATTTGTCCACCCTGGTGCAGGATGCTGATAGTGGGGGAGGCTGTGCAGCTGAGGGTGGGGCGATTATGAGCTTTTTGCTCAATTTTGCTGGGAACCTAAAACTGCTCTAAAACTTTTTTTTTTAATTTGGAACTATAGTCAATAGGTTACTATAATGAAGAAGTGTGTGTATAATTGAATCACTTGTGCTGTACACCGGCGATTAATACAACGCTGTAAATTGACTACACTTCAATTAAAAACAAAATTTTTTTAAAGTAACATTCGTCCAGAGAATTAGGCCCCCTACTTTTAGTGATTTTGCGGTTTTGGTGGTTACAGAGGAGCAGGGCAAGTCAGACTGGCAGTCAAGGAGGCAGCGGAGAGAAAACCTATAGAGGCGGAGTTGACACGCCCGGGCCGCTTCTGTGATTCCATATGTGTTGCAGGGGGGTGGGGGGAACCCCAGTAAGTTAGACTCTGGACCCTAGTGCCCACTTCCCCACTCAGAGAAAGGAATATGACTTTAGTGGGGCAGGTGTGGGTAGATAAAGGTGGTGGACTTTGCTGCCTGAGATGGTTCCTAGTCTAACAATCTACCACCTACCCTCTGACTTTAGTTATGGGATGGCCATATGGAGACAGCACTGCTAGTCATCAAACCTTTAAAAACTTTAGGTTAAGAGTGTTTGCTGTGTATTTCTTGATCATGCTGGAAGTCATTTAACAATGTTCCATGAATCTAATTGTCTTGGGGAAATTTATGAAAAAACACCACAGATAAAGGTACCCAGGGGACTCTGGAATAGACATCCCCACCCCCCAATTCTGCAATAATTGGCGTCTTCCTGCTCAGTCTCCCTTTTAGCCCACAGGAAGGGAGGCTGGAGGCAGGGATATGTCTGCGGAAGACGGGTAAGGGGTCAAGGGGGAGACACCCAGAAGTCTGCAGGCCACGACTTCAAGTACAGATTCACAATTCCCAGTTACACACATATCCCAAACAGCTACTTAGTCAGGTACAAGAAAGCTATTCTAAGTATTTTACTTGTTTATAAATATTGATGTATAATAATCCTAAGCAGTTTTCTTACTTTTAACAGACATCATCTAAAACCTTCAAGCAAAATACGTTTCAGGATTAGCTTGTCTTTATTTTGCTTTGAAGGTTGGTTTTTAACCACTTTTGCATCTGGGGCTCCATTATCAGAACACAGCAGAGGACTCTGTCCCTGGAGCAGGTCTACACCACTGACTGAGAGCTATTTCCAGGCACTCTCAGCGGGGCCTCCCCTGCCCAGACCTGCGCTCCTCCCTGGGGCTGCCTTCTCCTCTGGGAGGGGCGGACTCGCCTATGATAAATGATAGTTCAAAATGGCTGCATCAAAAGGAAAAACAGAAGTGGCCTCTAATTCCTAAGCCACTAATACTGCTCAGGAAAATGCTTTCCGGGGGAAATGAACCCAGCTTTGCATGTTACGTTCTCCTAAAAGTAACACTGAGCAGAACTGTGCTCCTGGTAATCGGATGCAGATTTGAGTTTGTGCTTTGAATTCTTTCCAGTGAATCCAACCAGTCATTTTCTTTAGGGTTGCAGAGTTCTGTTTTGTTTTGTTTTTAGGTCTGGCAAGCAGACATTCCAACCTCCCAGGCTCCTTGGCTTACAACAGTTCTTGCTACCCGCCTAATACAGCCTTGCTGGCCCATTCTTCCAATGACGGCGACTGTGAACTAACCTGCACCCCTCCCCTTCGGGCTGCAAAGCCGGCTCTTTCCTGCTCTCAGTCACAGGCCAAGAGCTGGCACTTGGCCCTGAGTCAGGAAATTCCCTTTACTTCCCGAGGCCTCCTTGGATTCTGGGTATATCTGTCCCGAACCCAGGCCAGTCTGTCTCTGTCCCCTCTTGGGGTCACAGCCATTTTCCTTTGCTTCAGGGTGAAAGTTGTGACTGCTCCTCTCTCTCCCACTGGCGTCATCGGGGTTCTGGGTACACTGGGTGGCAGCATGGACCCCTGCCCCGCGCTGCCTCTTTCCTCGGGGCTCACAGGGTCAGAGAGTCTGTGAACCCAAGAGCCACGGCCACACAGTCACTGTCACTGCAGGACAGAGCTGTCCTTAGAACCCAGGTCACATCTTGGGGAGGGCGTCCCTTCCAGGCTATAAGGGAGGTGAAGGCTGAGCTTGTTCTTTGATCCCAGAGCCACCCAGCCATGAGGCTCCATCGTCTCTGACAGCTAGGAACAGGAAAGCTCAGGTTCACTCCTTCAGATCTCCCGAACTCCAGGTGCTACGTAGCCTTTCCTCCCTCCTCGCTGTTGCCTTCTCCCTTCTCACAACATCCCTTCCCAAAAGATCCTTCCGTCCTGTACTGCAAACATGATGATTCCCATGGCAACAACCTTCAACACCTCCTATCCAGGGTAACAGTTATCTTTCCAAGAGTCTCACTTCCCATCATAGCCCTGGAAAGCAAGAATAACGCACCCACCCACAGGGTGAGGAGGAACAGCAGTGGCCCTGCGTCAGGTACTGTGCTGGATGCTTTAATCCACGTAACACCTGGGAGGGAGGCCCCCCGGCTTCTGTGTCCTCACACAGAAACAGACTACAAAGTTCATTTTCTAGATGAGAAAACTGCAAGGCTGAGTAACCAGCCCAAGGACACCTCACTACTAAGCAGCAATGTGGGATCTGAACCCAGAACTCGGCATACCAAAGCCTGTGCTGTCTCTACTGTATCACGGTCGCACTGACTGCAGTAAGATACAGCATTTGAAGGTGCCTAATGCCAAGTGCATGACAGGCACTCAGATATCTCAGCAGGGCAGGCACACAGTAGGCACTCAATACATGCTAGTTCCCCGCCTCACCCTTCTGTAGCCACATCACGCCCACAGTACCTTCCAGACTGGAGAGCCGGGGCTCAAGGCAGAACCCTTCTCGTGAGTGTTTCCTGTGGTCCATCCAGAGACCTGTCTCTAATCTGCAAATATATCAAGGACCAACTGTCAGGACAGGAGGATACTCATAGTATTAACTCCGAACGGCAGGAAGATCTCTCATTGTATGAAGGCACTCTCCCCACTGTCCCATCCCACAGACCACCCTGGCCTGTTGCAAATACTTGAGCTGGGCTCGCCGGTCGCTCAGTACACAGCAGCTCCTTAAATGAGGATCAAAGAACATTAGCATGGATGGGCGTCATCCTACATTCTTCAGTCCCTCTTAGACACCAGCGGTTTGCTTAAGCTCACACAGCTGCGGTGCCTGCAACCCTGAATGGGGTCACATGTGGAAGCAAGCTAGCTGGGTGGTCCCTTCAAGGCTGAGGACTGCAGAGGACACAAGGACTGAGAGGAAGAGCTCTACGCCAGAAGCAAACGGAGCCTTCGGTTTACCCTTAGCTCTTTGCTTTCAGGAACTGCCAGCAGCATCACAGCCAAGCTGCTGCCACCTATCGCCCAAGGCCCTGAACTCCAGTCCTGGTGCGTCTGGCCTGGGAAACGGCTAGGGGTTGAGCTGTGTGCTCTGGAGTGTGCTGGGTCACAAACATGGTATCGGGGGCACAGCACGGGGACCTGGTCAAACAGCAATCTCAATGAAAGAAGTAGAGATGGGAAAAAGTCCTAAACGTGGTCCTGTCAACACCAGAAGATGCAGGACTAAGGTTTTTAAGTAAATAAATAGCCAAATGCCCCACCGGGCACTGTCCAGGTGGCCTCCTCAGGCAGGCCTCGGGCTGCCAGCGCACAGAATACAGCTGATGGACCTGGGTTCAGCGGGGGGCAGTTGGGGTTTTGACCTTTTGCACTAAGGACAAGTGTCCTCAAAAATGCCTCTCAGAAACCTCAGAATATATAAGGATTATCTCTGCTTCTTCTCCTCATTCACCTCCTTCTTGCATGCTCTCTCTCAAGCTGAATCAGGAAAAACCTGAATTCCCAAATATGCAAAATATGGTTCCAGCCGCCAGATACCCTCCAAGGCTTGGCTCAAACTGTCACCTCCTGCACGGAGCTGTCCCGAACTCCTCGAGTTGGAAATAGTCACCTCCCTCTGGAGCCCACAGTTCTACAATCATTACTTGATTTTGCTATTTACTAGCCTCAGTCTCCCCCAGGTCTCTTCCTCCATTAGAGTGAAAATGCTTCAGTGTTACTGTTCACAGAGCCCAGCCTGGGGCCTTGCGCATGCTGGACGTGCAGTGTCTGGTAGATGACTTTAGGAAAGGGGAAACGCAGTGCATGCTTTTGTGAAGTGCAGTATTTCTAGATGAGCTTAGGGTAAATTCTAGTGTATCCCAGCTAGTCTGGGGTCAGCTGGTGGGGACCTGGGGGTCTCCAGACTCTCCCTAGAGCCCAGCCAAGTACAGTGCAGGGGAAGCACTCTCCAATGCATGGGTCCCAAGCCACTTTATAGCACTCAAAAAGGCCTAATGGGTTGGGTGGGGGGAAGCATCCTGGGTTATTCCAATCTAGAGGTAAAGATCTCTCTTCCCTGTTCCACCTCAGTGCATACTAGGCGCTCAGGAATGTGGCCCCTTTAGAAGCTAGACAAGTGCTAAGAAAAGTTATACAGAGAAAACATAAAATGCCCTCGGATTTAGGAATGCCACCCCGTGGTGAGAGCAGTCTGATCGACCTGCACATCTCATCAGCAGAACCCACGAGTGAAACCGCCCCCTGCTCCTCTGGAAAAGCCATCTGCTCCTTCCCACGCCCATTCGGAACCCAGACCAGCACCTGGCACCCAGCTGACCCACAAAAGTTGCTGATGAGTTTGATCAGCATAAAGGTAGCAAGGCCCCCAGGTCTCAGGAAAGGTCTTTTGTAAATTGCAGGCCAGAGGACCAGCCAACCACTCGTTCTGCCTCACCGAGAGCTAGCCAGACCCCAGAGCAACACCGCAAAGCTAATTCACCTTGGAGAACGGCTGCCTCACTGCAGATGCAGCCAGATATCCTCGGAATCCGCCGTCTGCTGACCAGCTAGAATTCTGAAGGTGGAGAAAAGCCCTGCACTCGGATGATTTCATCACCCAGGCTGGAGGAGGGGCACAGGTGGATCAAGTCGCCACAGCTGCTACTCCAAGCTCACACTTCAATTGCCATCCCAGTTCAAAGGGGAGGGGCGATCTAACCATCTGAATCACAATCCTGTGGCCCTACTTCCACCTCTAAGGAGGTGGCCTCCTTCCCCATTTATCCGTCCTGCCAGTTGGCATCCTTTCAGGACCATGCTCTCAACAGACAAGTCGCATAAGCCAGCACACCTAGGCCGGCAGTGCTTCACAGCTCATTAGGAGCCACGCTCAAAAGCTGTGCAAATGCTGGTCCATGGCCACTATTCTTTCCTACCCCTAACTTACAAATTCAGAGAACATCAAAGATCCAAGTTAGAAATGATCCTGGCCATCAGTCAATCCAACTGTCTGCTCCCTTAGCTCATTTTCCAGGTGGCCTATAGGTGACCAGAAGTCCCAAATGACGTGTTAAGGTGAGGTGGAGCCCAGCCAGGAGGCAGGTTGCTGACTCCAGGTCCAGCGTTCTTTCTAGTCTTGTCTTGAGCTGCCCTGGACAGGGACAGAGTAGCTGCTGCTCTTGGCAGTGTTCCCCATGCAATCAGAGGCTGGCCAGTCTAACTGGGCAGTCACACATCACAAACAGAATCCACGCCATGAGGTTTTCCTATGTGAAGGGTTCCCTCCAGTGACAACAGCCTCCATTGCCTCGGTCAGCCTCTGTAAGATCGTGGTGTGTCCTAACCAAATGGACTGCTTTTTGTAATTCTGGAAATGAAGCATCTGGTATCTGCTCCTTCCTCCTGTCTTTTACAGTGGTTTCTCCCTTATTTTGAAATAACAAGCAATCAGTCAATAGGAAGGTGGGCACAATGGGCCCCATCCTCAGCCATAGCCGCCCCAGGCCTGTCGCCCCTGCCAGTGGCCCAGCACAAGCAGGTGGTTCCACCAGAGGTGAGGTCATAATCAGGACGCGAGGTATAGGAATGCAATCTGGGGGTCCTCCCCGGTTCCCATCAGGGGACCATTTATAGTGTAGAACGGACGGCCCCCCATGGCCCGCGTCAATCATGCAGAAGAGGTGCCGTCCTCCGAGTGCACAGGGAAGGGCTCACCTCCTGGGGCCCCTGGGACCGCGCATGGCTGGACTCCCGGGACACAGGCTGTGGAGAAGAGGAAATGACCCACAGGGCAGTCTTCCAAGCCATGGTCTCCAGCCCCTCTCTGCCCACCTCCCCAAAGTCCCAGCCACGCCTGCTTTGCTTTGTGCTCTCCATGCCTCCAGTCCCAGCCCTGGGACCGACGGGAAGCCCAGTGTGGTCTCACGACAGACACTGAAGTCACTGACAGACATTGTTTTCAGTGTTTTTTTCTGATGGCTGCACACCAGAGGCTGCTCCCAGGGCCTCGGCACGCACGGTAACAGGCCTCCCTCCAGGGATGGTCCACCCGGAGGCCCTCATCTCTGTTGTGCAGCTAGAACGTTGCCCTCTTCGATGCTCTGCAGCTGCAGCCTCTGACCGGCCAGGGTCCTGCTGCCTCGGCGGCCCCCGAAGCCAGCCCCCGGGACGGTCCGTGCGGCCAGCAAGACCCCCGGCAAAGCCTCCTCCCCAAATAAGTTCATCTTGGCCTCGGCCTCTATGGCTCTGGCCAAGCTGGCTGCGTAACTGTCCAAGGACTTGTGCACTTCGGCTCTCACGTGAAGAACAGGGTTCCTGGCAGCTTCTGAGAGAGAAGGCAGGCAGAAAGAAGGTTAGCCGAGGGGCCAGCACCAATGGCGACCCCGGGGTCGGCCTGCTGTGGCCTCCCTGCCCCGGGGAGGGGAGGCAAACAAGGTGAAAGGGTGGGTTCTGGAGTCGGAGTCCCAAGGCTACCCTCTTTGACTCCTTTGCCTCCTATCTGGGGAATCTCAGAAATTCTTTAATCCAACCTCAGTTTTCTCATCTGTAAAGAGACAATCAGCCCACCCCTTACTTCGCTGGGTTACTGTGATAAACAGTTCTTCCTAAGGTGCCTAGTCTATGTGTGGCTCCTAGAAAAGGCTTGATAAATACTTTTCTGTTAATTATATTCAGATTTTTACAGACTTCCCTTATCTTTCAGCTCCCTGGAGCAAGCAATAGCTACGGTTACAAGCTTCCCCAAACCTGACTGTGTCTCTTTTCTCTTCGCACTTGCTCAGAGGTTCCCCGAAGCCATGGAGAACCTCGGGACTGGACGAACATGAGAGGGTCAGGTGCCCGCCGCCCAGGACTAGGACCTGACAACCAGCGTGCACAGAAGACAGGGAGGAATGTGGGTCTTGCTTTCACACCCAGGGCTTCATTACTGTCAACCTCACTGCCTACTTTTCTCCTGGCATTTGGGGGGAACAGCCCATCCCCTCCTCCCCACATTTCCTGGAGCACGTAACTTCCAGCCCACTCTCCGAGAGGGAGGGAGAGGACGAGCCATGTGGTCTCACACGTGTCCGCTCTCCTCCCCGCCTGCAGAGAAGGTGTCGTCAGAGTGGCCGTCCCCTAGCAAGTAGGCCTGACGGGGAAGCCTGGTGCGATGTGGGCTGGCCAGGCCGGGGAGGGCCTCGACCCATTTTGTTTAATACGGGAGTGATATATGATAAAGCCCACAAGGCTTCTGGTCCAAGCTCCGTTCCGGACTCCACTTTGCCAGTGAAGCGAATGATTTGGTATCTGCCTCGCTGACAATCCGTCTGGAATCAGGGAGGGTGGTGGAGAAGACAGGACTCGTTATGACCCTAGGGCCCAAATCCATTCTCGTCCTCAGCATTTCTGGAGAACACGGATCTTAAAGTCCCTGGACTCCTCCACCACGTCCCACCCAGCAAGGCCGGCGCCTGTCCTCACACGGTGGGATTCCCACGAAGAGATTCTTGCATCTGTGGGCAGCCTGGATGGCTCCTCTGTTACCTTCCAATCAGCATGTCTAAATAGGAAACTAGACCTCAAGTTTGAGAGGCAACAAGAGTGCTGGGGTAGAGTTCAGAACAGGTGAAATCGAAAAATGTAGGGACCGGACTATGGCAGGACTCCTTCCTCTCCAAGACCCACACGCCCCCATCAGCTTCAGGGGCAATGGAGGCTCGAGACGGCAGCCTTCACCTGTGGTGCACGCACTGCACCATTATTTCCATTCCCCACCTGGGGAGGCTGAGGCTCAGAGAGGGCAAGTCCAGACTCAGAAGCACACATCATCCATAAAGGAAGGAAGCCACGGACAGCTCAGAAACTGTGTTATCAGGTCAGGCAACTTCCCGAGGGAGGGGACGGGCATGTGGGCAGTGCGTGTCTCTGTGGGCCACTGCCTGTTTGTGTCTGTGTGTGTGTGTGTGTGCATATGTGTGTATGTATGTGTGCACATGTGTCTGTAGGCTACTGCTTGTGAGTGCGTATGTATGTGTGTGTGTATGTGTGGGTGTGTGTGCATGTGTCTGCAGGCCACTGCTCACGCAACCTCAGATGCTGCTTGCTCTGAGAGCTGGGAAGCCTAAGGACTCAAGTGACGCTTGAAGGGTCAGGAGCGACCCGGGGGCCAGGGAAGGTGGGAGCCCTGGTGTGTTGGGGATGGGGACAGGCTGAGCCAAGGAGTCTTCCTAAGATCCTCTCGACTCCCCTGTTTTCCTGAAACCATCCGCCAGACACCAACCTCTGATCTGCTCCACTTCATCCTCGAAGGTCACCGAGCTCCTCCTCTTGGGTGGGCAAGTGCAGTGGGAGGGCGGGGTCTCCTCAGACGGGTAGTCCCCGAGCAGCATCACATCCGTGCCTGAAACCAAGGGCAGACTGTGCACCCATAACCGGCAACACCAAGTCCTTCTAGCCGCCTTCCTTGCTCTCTCAACAACTCTTGCACCTCTGTCTCCCGTTCACTCAAACCCACGGTCAGGTGCAATCAACTGCCCTGCAGCATTTGCCCAAGAAACACTCCATCATCCCATTTCAGGGAGTCTGCAGCCAGCCAGCCGTCGGGGCTGCTTCAGACACACCCCAAATGTTACCTGGGTAACAGCAATGTTATCCAGGCTGACAGGTTAGGTGCAACTCAAAAGGACTGGCTGGGTTGGCCAGCGCTGGAATAGAGGAAGGGGATACTGGCTGAGCGGAGGAGGGGCTTTGTGTTCTGAGTGATCCTTCCTACAGTCTGAATTTTTATCATCGCAGTTGAAATATACTAAACAAACGTTTAAAACCTGGAAAGGTAAAGTTCTTTGAGGATCAAAAAAGGATTGGAAATATGTCCCCCAAAAAGTCGGGGGGAAAGGGAGAGGCAGGAAGTCCTAATAGAGAGAGTAGGGCACACAGGCAGGGGGAGGGAGGAGGGCTGAGCGGGACCCTGGCCTGACACGGGGGCGATGCCAGGACCAGCCCTGTTCTGTCTTAGTCTCCAGCCTGCAGTCCTTCAAGGCCTTGAAGTTCAGGAGATGAGGATGTTCAGGGGAGCCTGGAGCTCCTCACGTGTTCCTTCAGAACAACCTGCAAAGGCACGTCCCTCTAGAAGGCACTGGAACCCGATGGCCAAGCACCGGGGTCCCAGAGTCGGGCAGATCTGGGATCACAGGCAGCTTACTTAAACCCCCGGCATCCTTCCTCGTCTGTAAGACGGGGATGGTAATTCCACCTACCTCCCAGAGCTGCCATGGGGATTATGAGTTGAGAGGTGTGAAGATGTGACACTGTGTGGCTCACAGCAGGTGAGGAATCAGCAGATGTCACCCCTCATGAGCATGCAGCTAAGTGGCGGGGCTGAAACTCATGTTCCGCCTGCGTGATCCCAGAGTCCAAGCCCCATCTCCCACCTGCAACACTGTCTTCCTCCTTTTGTCTGGTCACCTCCTACTCACTCTCGAGGTTCTCACACGGCTTCCTCAGAGCAGCTCTTTGAATGCCCCTTGACCCAAGTTCTCCCCAACAGGGAGCACGTGCCACTCCCTGTTACGGGTCCTGCAGCACTCGGCTTCCCCTTCCACAGCTCTCACCATAGGTAGGACCTCTTCTAAAGCAGAATTAGTGACGTATCATTCACACACCACACAATTCACCCATTTAAAGTGCAGGGGATGGCTGTCTGCCCGCCAGATAGGAAGCGCCATGAGGGCAGGTCACAGCATCCCTAGGACCTAGCACGGTGTCTGCTCAAAGCAGGGGCTTGGTAAGTAAGTATCTGCTAAATGATGAGTGCCACCCCGCCTCTGGAGCCCTGCTGGTTGTCCGAGAAGGGAAGAGAGCCTGAGGATGGACAGACCTCCCTGTCTGTGACCACAAGTCACACGAGGGACTTGGGTTTACAAGGGAGGGTGTGAGAAGGGTCAACACTCCGGGCTGCGGGTAGGGGGCACATTCTCAGGGAATGTTCTGCCTCTGAGGAAGTGCTCCTTGACCCCCATCTGGGTGCCTGCCTACAGCTCCCCCAGAGCTCCATGACACAGTCTCAGGTGAGGAAATAGGGGTCAAGAAGGAGAGGAGTTTCCAAGAGGTCCCAGCCGCGGAGATGGAGGAGCACACAGCCAAACGCCCACTGCCACCCTGCGGCTTCCAGGTCCAGGATTTGGCACCCTCCCATCATGCCCAGCACCCTTGATGGCCACCAGCCTCGGCATGGGTACCCGATGATGGGGCCCTTTGTCAGTGATGTGGAGCTGTGAATGACCGATGGAAGGATGCCGCCGGTCCCTGCCCATGTGCCCCCCGCCGGGCCTTGTGAGGTATCCCAGTCACACACTGACAAGCACGGGATGTGGCACTCGGCTCCCCGGAGCTGCCAGGAGCAGACTGTGACATTACAGAGCCCGCTGCTCGGGGAGGAGCCCTGGGCCAGCAGGAACCTTTGGGAGCAGCTACAGGGAAGGTCTGAAGGATGCTGGTGGAACCGTTTCCTCTGGGAGACCGAGCTCTTCACAGGCAGGCCGCAGGGCACGTAAAACGATGCTGACAAGGCACTCGACCTCGTGGGAAGTGCCCTTGACAGAAGGACGGCTGCCCTCAGCTCACAAATGGGGCAACTGCAGGGTTACAGAGGAAACTGAGCAGCTTGCCTGAGATAACACAGCTCCTAAAAAGCCAGCTCGAGACTGAAAACCAGACAGGCTGACTCTGGAGCCTGCACTAGCCAGTGGTTATTAGAATTCAAGTAACAATTCACAGTCATTTAGCATTTTAACTTTTCAAAGGCTTTCACTTAATTTGAATTTCACAACAGTCCTGTGTGGCAAAGAGAACAGGAGTTGAGATCCCCATTGGCTAGAGGAGGAAACAGGCAGAGAAAGGCTGGGGGAGAATAAAGCATAACTGGAAACCAGATGCTTGACTCTCGCCCTCCGCGTCCCAGGAGGCGTCCCTCCCACCAGCTCTAACCCGGCATCGCGGAAACCGACAGGTGAGAGGCTGAGCCAGCGCGAGGCTTACCTGAGTCCTGAGAGCAGCTGAAGCCGGTGTCCCCAGTGCTGCTGCTGTTCCCCAGGGGCTGCCCGCCTGCCATGAGCGCCGTGAGGTGTGGGGACAGGCCCAGGTCTGAAAGGCAAGGTCGGTACTGACTGCACAATCCACGTCCCGCTGTGGCGGCCAGGGTGGTCCTCAGGGACCCACCTCCTGCTCTCCTGCCCGCTCTGTTCTCCTTGCAAAGTGTGCTCCCTCTCAGCTCACTGAGGACAGGAAGCCCTCGGCTGCCTTCCCCTACTTTGCCCCTTGTTCGATCCCTATCCCGGGGAGTCTGAGACAGGATTCACTGGGCCCTCACCAAGGGGAAGCTCTCATGACAGATGCCAAACAGCAACAAGGCAGGTGGGAGAGGGAAGGAGGTGAACGTCCAGGTAAACGTGGAATGTGGGTACACGTGTGGCTCCTGGGATCCCACCTGAATGCCAAAAGGGATTCCTTTTAAAAAGGCTTGAAGCCCCCAAGGGGAGAGAACGTCTGGAAGCTGGAAGGTGGATGGATGGGTGTGGGCAAGAAACTGATCCAGGAAACAGCTGAGGTTGGTGGCCGGGGAAGTCTGGCAGGAGGCCCCCAAAAGCTCAGGAAGTGGAGGCCCGAGAGTCTCTGCAGGCAGGTGGGGCTCGATGGAGAGTCTCTAAAGGAAGCAGTGGGTCTCCTCCACTACTCTTCTCAGTCCAGGCTCCAGGCACCTGCCCCCCAAGTTGGCAGGAGAGCAGAGGGGTGAACTGGGGGCCTCTGGCCTTAGAGACACCAGACACAGCTGAGGCAACATGGAAAAACCGAGGGAACAAGAGCCTGTACATTTAACAGTGGGACCCCCGCCCCATCACCTCACCCGGCCCAGGCAGGAGACCGGAGACCTTGGCCCTGGGGAAATTCAACCAGCCGCAGAGAAGAGCCCTGCAAAGCCTAAGAGCTGGCCACCCTGTGGGACGGCCCAGCCCGAGCCCCTCACAGTCCACATGATGGCTTCCCAGGGCTGCACTGTTAACCATTGGGACCGCGCAGATCCCCAGACATTTAAGGAAAGGCACTAAGCAGAGATGGGGGAATAAAAAAGAAAGAAAGCAAAAGCCAAAAAAAAAAAAAAGCAGATCTCACAGGAGACAGTGCAGGGAGGTTAAGAACACAAACAGAATTCTAATTATGTGTCCTCAGAAAGTTGAGAAAGTAATGAATCCACGAACAAAAGAGCTGGAGGCCATGAAGACCATGGAGGTAATGAAAAGGCGCTCTCAGCAATCAGAAAAACAGCACAAAATGTCAAACTCCGCCGATCTCACGAGGAAGACCCACTGCTAGCAGATGTGATGACCCACCACAAAGGACCACGGTGCCCCCCGCGGCACGCTGGCACCCAGGAGAGGCCTGCCTCTGGTACCTCCAGCCCAATCGTTCTGAGAAGCAGGGTGACAGAGCACACAGTCTCCCTTCTCCTCTGGAGCCAAGGACATGGTGGAGGGCAGGGCAGCCCGTGTGCTCAGAGCAGGCTGCTCTCCCAACCTCCCCTCCAAGAAACGGAGGGATCACATTTCTGCAAGGAGCCCTTCCCTTTCCCGCTGTTTGGTGTAGGGGGTAAGGTCTTGGCCTCAGAATATGACTATGTCTCAGCAGGAAGCCCAGCCTGGGAGGGGGACCCATCAGGGAACTTCCACTGCCAACTGGGGTGGCTGAGGCCACAGTGGGTTCTGGACACCCTCTCTGAGGCTGCGGTGAAAGCCAGGCACGAGTCCTGGTCTCCAGCAGAGGGAGGAATCACTGGGGCCAGACCAATGCGGCCCGGCTAAGAAATCTGGAAATAGGGTGGCCAGGTGGCAACTCTTATCTCTGCTTATCCAGCATTCACCACTGGAGAGGGTTGTAGGTACCCTCAGTTTTTTTTTTTTCCCATAAAACAACACATCTATTGGGCTGGGGGCCAATCCAACACTTTTCAAAAAAAAATTTTTTTAAAAGAAAAAGGCACAAAGGGACAGGCCCAGAGATCAGATCAGAAGCCTGGGGTGGCCAGAGGAGGCACAAGCGCCTTTTACAGGCTAAAAGAACAGGAGTGCAATTCTGGGGTAAAACTGGCTCTTTGAAGTAACCAGGGGACCTCTAGGTGGCACCAGGAAGGCAACTTGGAAAAGCAAGGCGGGAAAATTCAAAGGCCCCTGTGTTGCCCTCCCCACTCCCTCCAGACCTCACGCAGACTGAGGCATTTCCTCTGAGAAAAACGGGAGCCAGTGTCCTTCTCTCCAGAAGATAACTGGAAAGGCTCTATCCTGTTCCAGGAGCTTCGAGCATCAGGTGAGAGCAGCGTTTTGGAGAGGTCGCCCTCCAAGCCTGGCTGGGGTGGAACCTGGACTGTCTGCCCAGCTGGGCCACCTGGTGGCAGAGTTACTGGCCCAGTCCCCTGAAGGTCCCTTTTTTGCTCAGGTCGCCTGTGGTTACCTGTCAGCTTTGGATTTGTAGTCTGGCCTCCCAGGACCAAACGCTGGCATTCAGCTCACCTTTCAGCACTAGAATCAATGTCGACAATGCCAGGGTTGACCTGCCACCAGGAGGTGGCACTGCCTGGCAACCCCCAGGTAGCCCAGAGATCTCCATGCCCAGGTGAGCCCCTTGGGAAGCTGCTAATGAGACCTCACAAGCAGAAGGTATCCTGGTGGCCCGAAGACAGCTGGCACCCAGGGAAAACCTAAGCTACTGCACTTCTTCAGCTGGGGGATAACAGAATGAAAAAACCCAAATCCACGGTTTATGGCTAAAATCTATGAATGAAATAAACAGCGTGTTACGTGTAAAACTCCTGGCCTCTTGGAGTCAGCTGGGAAGCACCAGGTATGTGTGGAATGCCACTGGCCTGTGCTCACAAGCACTGATGGGAAAGTTTGTAATTTCATGTACTGAATCCTTTGGTGAAAACTGTTCAGGTGCCCATGCAAATGGAGAGGAATGAAACCGAGACAGGGCCTCCAAGCCTTTTCTTATTGGTTTTGGAACGAATCCTTCTTACCCCGTGATAACGGGAGAGCACGTGTGTTTTCTGAGGGTGAGAGGGGTGGCCGGAAGCAGGCTGGGGGCCAGGAAAGGAGGGGTTTAGGTGTCTGCTGCAGATCCAAGTCATGCCCACAGAGGGTGTCAGACCGGGACCCCGTGAGCCCTGGCTCAGCCACAGGGAGCAAGGACGTGAGGTGGAGGCCAGCGTTCTCCCTCCTGGTCAGAGATGCAGCGGGCACTCCTGGCATGACGGGGGCAGGGTGCAGAGCTGGGGTGGGCACGGCATTCTCTTCCCAAGACTCTTGCTGAGGGTGCTGCCTGCCTTGTGCAGTCAGGACTTTTGGGGAAGAAACAACAGGGACCATGCGGCTCCCATTCAAGGGAAAGGGCAACAACTCGGAACCCATCAGTCCACGTGCTCTTCAGTCCAAAAACACCCCACAAAACTGCATGAGATCGCTCTCGCTGCCTCGGACTTGCCAACCCAAGCACAGCTGGTGTTTTCCGTCTGTTCTCACAGCCTCACGAACTCTTCCGGGATAATCCCACGTGGCTCGCATGGAAAATCTTGGCGCCAAAAGCAGATGTTTCTTTCTGTTCTATCTACCCTCTCCTTCATTCTCTTTCCTCATTCTTAACTTCACTGGAGTAGAAAACCTTTCCTATTTCTTGGCCTAGAAAAGAAGTGATTTCACAAAATCTGAACAAATTAGTTAATCAGTGAAATAAAACCAAACCCTGAATGTACTCCTTCCGGCTCACAAGTCACACTTGGAAACACGGTCTTGCCAAGTGGTTGGGGATGGGCATTTCAGTAGTTAAAATCCTGGGATACTGAGAGGTTCTTTTTTGTCTCACAATCAAAATAAAAAACCCCAGAATTCCTTCACTCCTCAAGAAGGAACACATCAGTCCACGAGATAAATCAGTGATGTTGGTTTGTTGACCTGCCACACGGAAAAGATCTATCATCGCCACCGATGAGCATCCACGATAATTAAGAGTTGCTATTGCTTTCCGCCCTGTTGAGAGGGAAAAGGGAAGGCTTCTCCGCTTCCTGAAGAGGGAAAATTAACTTGAGCAGTTTGAGTTGCCCAAAGTCATCTGGCAAGAGATTAGAAATGCAGCTTGAACTGGCTCTTTCCATAAATATGATCTGATTAGTGCCCTCAAAGTCTCTCTTTCCAGGTGAAGGTCTCCCTCAAACAACACAGTGACAACTGCGGAGGCAAGAGCCACCAACGCACGCTGCGCACGGTGCGTGCAGGCGGAAGGGGAAACAGAGAAGCCGCACAGCCTTGAACTATCTCCTCTGCTGTATTTGTTAATTACAATGGAAAAAGTGGTGACTTTACAGCGGGGAAACCTGGCCGACGCCACCTCAACTGTGTGGACTGAACGTATTCTCCCAAGATTCATACACTGAAGCCCTAACCTCCAATGTTACTGTATTCAGAGGTGAGTCCTTTGGGAAGTAATTAGGTTTAGAAGAGGTGATAAAGGGTGGGGTCCTGATAAGAGACTGGAGCGCTTGCTCTCCATCCCTCTCCCAAACCTTTCACCACAGGAGGACACAGCAAGAAGACAGCCAGGAAGACGGCCCTCACCAGAATCCCACCACGCTGCCACCCTGATCTCAGATGTCCAGCCTCCTGAACTGTGGGAAAAAACGAATGTCTGTGGTTTAAACCATCCAGTCTATGGTATCTTGTTACAGCAGCCCAGGCTAAGATATCAACCAAGAGATCAAGGGCAAAATTTGCTAGGAATATACTGACGCTTGGCCCCTAATATGATCACTTCACCCTCTCCCACCCCACAAGCCTGCCAAAAATGTACCACCTCATTCTAACCTTGGGAGCACACCAGCTCCACCCAAATGGAGGGGCCGTCAACAAAGCCCCTCACAGGACTCTACAAGGGCGTCAATGTCATGGGAGCCAAGGAAAGAACAAAGACCTGTCAAAGACTGAAGGAGACAAAGGATCACGTGATGACTGAATACAACATGGGATCCTGAGCTGGATCTTGGACCAGAAAATAAGACATCAGTGGAAAAATGGGTGAAATCTGAATCGAGTCTGTAGTTGAGTTAATAGCATTGCATCCATGGCAATGTCTTAGGTTTGATAACTGCTATGGTCAGGCAAGACGGTAACACTAGGAGAAGCTGGTGGGTGGGAATTCTCGGCACTGTTTCCCCAACTCTTCTCTGTGCCTAAAATTATTTCAAAATAAAAAGGTTAAAAATAAATCTACCCCTGAGTACAGTAATTCCTCTGGGTCCCATAAAAGGTGATGGGGTTGTGTCCAGAAACTGTTAGCTCCAAAATCAATTATCAGATGGCGGAGCAGCTTTACACATACAAGACAGTGATGTTCCAATGAGGGAGTGGAGGTTTGGCATCGCCACATCCTGAATTACTACGGACAACACTAGGACACCACTGACCTGTGAGCAAAGGCCCAAGGGGGTTATGCTCAGGAAGAGCAGCTGAGGAGGGCAGCAAGTGCTTTAAAGAGGAACCTGCCTTAAAGGAAAAAAACTAAAAATAGAGTTACCATATGATCCAGCAATCCTACTCCTGGGCGTGTATCCAGAGGAAGCTACTTCGAGAAGATACACGCACCCCAAAGTTCATAGCAGCAATATTTACAATAACCAAGACATAAAAACAATCTAAATAATTTACATCAACAGATGACTGGATAAAGAAGATGTGGCGTATTTATACAATGGAATATTACTCGGCCATGAAAGAGAAAGACATAATGCCATTTAGAGCAACATGGATGGACCTAGAGATGATCACACTAAGTGAAGTAAGTCAGAGAAAGACAAATATAGCATGATATCACTTATGTGTGGAATCTAAAAGAATGGCACAAATGAACTTATTTACAAAACAGAAAGACACTTACATAGAAAACAAATTATGGTTACTGGGGGAAAAGGTGGGGGAGGGATAAATCAGGAGTTTGGGATTTGCAGATGTTAACTACGATATATTAAATAGATAAACAACGAAGTCCTACTGTTTAGCACAGGGAACTATATTCAGTATCTTATAATAACAGATAGTGGTAAAGAATATATGTATATATATAACTCAGTCACTATGCTGTACACCAGAAACCAGCACAACATTATAAATCAACAATACTTCAACTGAAAAAAAACACTGAAAGGAAAGGACTGGCCAAGAGGAGAAGGTAGTTTTGTCCAATGCTTGGGTTCTTTTTCTCTAGACAGAAGTAACTATGCCCTTGAGGCCCATGGGCCATGGCCAGGGTCCCAGGACACTGATTTCTGAATTCTGGTGTTCCCTGTCCTGAACTGCTGAGCTCAAGACATCTGCTTGGGAATCACAGTAGACACTCTGGGATGTTCCTTCCCCAGAGGAAAGCCCTGAAGCCGCGCTCAGCCTGAGACTTCACCCGTCAACCGGCCAGAGCGCCAGGAGGACCGCATGCTACACCTGCCTGAGGGTGGGCATCCCTTCCCTGGCAATTCCCAAGTTACCTGTGATCCTGTTGGAAATGCTGAAGAGCCTGGAAGTCCTCTGCCGCTGCACAAACGGTTCCCGGTAATACCGATCCCCAAAGCACATGCCCAGTAGTTCCTTGCGAACCGTCTTGTTCCAGAGTCCGTAGATCAGGGGGTGGCAGATGGCACTGGTAAAGGACAGCCATGTGGCCCAGGTCTCCAGGGTCGGAGAGACATAGTTCTTCCCCCAGAGGGCCTCAGAGGTGATGACAACCATGTAGGGGCCCCAGGTGACCATGAAGGCACCAATGACCACCAGGATGGTGATGAGAGCTTTGCATTGGTTGGCCGAATACACCACACCCTGAAAGGCGTTCTTCCTACTGCCCGAGGAGGAGGTGGAGGTGCTGGAGTTCTTCCTCCCGTTCCTCTGCGCGTCCTCCTCCACGATGACCACGGTGCCACAGTGCACCTTGCGTGCCTTGACCCTGGCCACACGGAAGATGAAGCCATAGCACACCAGCATGACCAGAAAGGGGAACAGGGCACACCAGATCTGCCAGAAGGCGGTATAGCCAGGCTCCCGGTGCCACGCAGCCACACACATCCACTTGAACTCGTCAAACTCCACCGATGACCAGCCAAACAGAGGCGGCAGGCAGCCAATGAAGGAGTGAAGCCAGATGTAGGCAAGTGCCATGACGGCTCGGTTGCCCGTGATCTTCATGGGGTACACCATGGGGTACAGGACAGCATAGTAGCTAGGAAGAGGAGGGAGGGAGGCGAGAGAGGAGTCAAAATAGAGGAGACACAGCAGGATGGGCAACCACTGCTTTCCCAGGTAGGGAGCACTGTTGAATTTCTTTTGCCCAACCAGCCATGGGGTGAATGCTTCCAAAAGTGGCACCTCTCCCAACTCTCCCCAGACAAGTCACAGACTGGCCGTGCTGCCCAGCCCAGTGGGACCCTTCGTCAGAGAAGGGCTGGGTACCAAGAAGGACACACAGCTCAGGCGGTCCCGTTTCCGAGCACCATGCCAGAGCCCATTCCTACTTGGGGGCGTGGCTAGTCCTGAGGCATCAACAGGCATTCTAAGGGATCGTACATCAAGCCAGATCACTTCTGTGTTTCTGACATTAAGCCCTTTGGGTCAGTTTTCAAAGGGTCACCAGAAACCAGACTAACATCTAAGGATCCTGGGGTCCATTCGTTCAAAGAACACAGACGGGAGGCCTGCTACATGCCAAGCACTGTGCTATGAACCGGAAATACAGGGGAGACAGACACCTAAGCAGAGCATGAGACTCTGGCTGGAAAGGGCCACATGTAATCCTCATGACAATGGTTTGAACCGGTTTTACATTTTACAGATGAGGACATTAAAGCAGAGAAAGGATAAATAATCTGCCCCAGATCAGGAAGGGGAAGAAACAAGATAAAACCCCAGGCAAGCTGACTCTCCAGTCTCCGACGCACATGCCAGCAATTCCCTGCAAACCATCTTGTTCCAGAGTCCAGAGGCCAGGGGTGGTTCCTAAGCCCTCAGCCCTGGAGAGCGACTGATTCACACTGGCCACTCCGATCCAAAGTGCAGGGTCAGAGCAGACTTCCTGGAGGAGATGGCACACAGCCCCAGGTCTTCAAAGATCAGAGGCACTGGCCCAGGAGCAGCAGAGGCAGGAAGCCAGCCTTGGCGAGGCGTGGAGGCAGAAGTGAGCAGCAACTCAGCGGGGAAGCCGCTCGCAGCTCCATCAGGCAGACACAGGGTGAAGGTGGAGCGGGGAGAGGAGCTGGGCTTGGGGCAGGCCAGGCCTTGCAGGCCAGCTGAGGGCGGACCTTTTAACTGGAATGGGTGGGAGGACGTAGACCATGGGGCTGAGAGTAAACTACCACTCTCCCGCCCTAGATGTTTCATCCAAGGGAAATGCTGTTTAATGACAGGGCTTATGCATGAGGGCAAAATGTGGAGGGACAGGGGTATAGGCAGGACATGAGGGGATGATCGTGGCTGTGAGCCTCACACCTCACCTGTGAAGCCACCTCCTCCACTGGGACCTTCCT